GTGTTTCCAAAGCGTGATGGACAACAGCACTTTCTTTGCACCATTTATGACAAGTGGAGAAAGGAGCAGGGCTGTATTGAAATCTGTGTGGTAGGAGCTCCATTCATGTGAAGAGACTCCATTCAGGGCCTTACAAAGGGTATGAGTCAACTGCAAAGAAAGGAGGCATTTCACAGAAACTGAAGTGTGACCCTTTGTTTTCCCTGACCCCGAGGTCCCCAGTGACACAAAAGGGGACCTCAGCACCGATTCTGCAGCAACAAATGCCTGTTGTGAGTGAGTGTATTTGAGGAGCAGTGACAATAAGGAATGACCCGAGGTGCTTGTTTCCAGCCCTTGTTTCCCAAGGGACTGCCAAGGGGGGAGTCCTGAGAGCAGCCCAATAGAGGTGGAGGAGATGAAGGTAGCACGAAGCTCTTCCTAGCGGAAGCATTTCCCTACAAAACCTCTCCTGAAGCACATGATCTGACCATCCACCTTGGAACACTTGGATAGTGGGTTTTTTTAACTCAGTCCCACAAAATCTATAGAAGCAAAGAGAGTTTTTATTTTGCTGTGAAGTGGGGTTTTTCTAATTTAGGACTGGCAAGGGATTAGGATGGTTTAGCAGCCCTTGTCTTTATTTCAACCTTCCACTAGCCCAAGACTACTTTCTTTTGCAATCAAAGTAGACATGAAAGGGATGTTTTGCTTTGCCCGTTTCATTATCTCGAAGTGCTGCAGGTCCCTATTAAAGTCCATGATGGAATTAGGGTGCAGAATGATGGATTTAAAGGTATCATAAAAGTCTTCCTGGTAAATAGTAGTCCCCAAATATATTCCAGTTGTGACCCGAGAGAGGCTGCTGGAGGCGTCCCAAGCATCCATGCATTGGCTCTGCAGATCGTTTGAGCTGCGGAAATGCATTTGCATATGGATGTCATGCTAAGGAGGCAGGGCAGTCCGGATTTCATTACTGCTAATGACGTGTGTGGGAGAAGTGATTTAGTTTATAGCCAGTGCCAGGCGTGGCACAATGAGGAAGTACTTAATTCACACAAACCTCTTTCTTGCTTCTAAGAACTAAAAATCAGGGGATTTCAAGCAGCTCCAGGAGGCCCAGTGTTACGTGACATGGTGTCGTGAGCACAGGGGGGAAGAACAGAGCTGTGACTGAGGTGAGGAAAGGGGGGGGGAAAGAAAGCTTCAAGATTTAATATTGATGTCATGAGGGAAGTGATCGGAGGAGAAACGAAAGGGAATGAAAAGGAGAAGAGAAGAAAGAGCAACTGAGGATGGAAAACCAGCAGGCAGAGCTGGCTCTGCAGGAATCGCAGTTGCCAAGGCTGGACAATCGGACTTTGGAGGTGCCAGAATAGTTACTCTGAGTTCCTGCTTTAGTCTGCCCAACTCAAAATGCAGGCAAATGCATTGAGCCTGGGGCAAGATGTCCCAATTTCAGCAACAAGAGAAGTCTGGAGAATTGGAAAGGAGAAACGGGACCCCAGGATAACACTGGGGTTGGAGTAACTGGGAGCTGCTGTCTGAATCATCTCATGACACCTTTGTACCTCAGCGGAGCCACCTCTGCTTTTCCTGCTGCAGTAGGCACTGCCTCAGACAAAGGGGAGCAGAGAGGGGCCTGGGGGCACTTTCTGGGCATATTACTTTGGGGGACAAAGAGATTACTATGCTCAGGCAACTTCAGGAAGCGCTATTTGAACTGGGATCAGTGTCTTGGGTGGCCTCTCAGCCGTGAGCAATGAATCAGTCAAGCAGAAGAAAGCACCCAGAGAGAAGGAAAGGGTGAAATGAGAAGTAAGTCAGAGGGGTTGCTGCTGGAGATAAGACCAGCAAGAGGGAGCACGCTGCACCAGAGCCTGCGTCCGGCCAGAATTTAAAAGGCTGAGAGGGCCTTGAAGAGTGGCCCAATTTTGGGATTTATGGTGCACGGGACCTCTGGTGTTCTATACTTACACTGCACCATTGCACAGGGTAGGAGGGAAGAAGGGTCATGAGCTGCTGCCCGTTCTTTGGGCATGGGGTCTGAATGTCTATCCATCTGCAGCTCACAATATGAAAATCTGAAGAAAGAGCTTTCAAGAAGAATTACTCTTGCCCTATTCATGGCATAGCAGCTGGTTTTAATGGATTTTAACTGTTTGGCTGCAATCACCCACCATGCATGCAATCAAAAGGGTTATGAGCTGCTAAAACTTACTCCTGGAGCAGTCTGGAAATGCTGCCTCTGGAAATACAGGATGGTTTTGGGTACCTTAATTTAAGCTATGTTGTTCTGCAATTTTCTGATGAGGGAAATCAGCTGCTCCGTTGGACAGGAGGATGTGAAGGCCACTTCAATAATCCGTGAATGGGTAAATACAGTTTGGAGAGTTCCCTGATTTCTGCTTCAGAGTGGAATTCAAAGGTTACGGGACATTTAGCTGGGGTTACTGGAAACTAAGTATGGTTTGCTTGCTACTGCGATTGAGTTCAGAAAAGCTGTAAGATGTCTGAAAAGAACATAACCCAGCTTTAGCATTTGTGCATACCTGAGCAAATACTGAAATATGCTGAAGCGATGGCCTTTATATGCTGTTCTAGGACAACCGTATGCTATTGATGTTTTACTGAGTGCAAGTCATTTGAATGATCTTCATACCTTAAGAGGGCAGCATGTAGACATCACCATCTAGAAGTTAGAAAGATGATTTGTCATGAAAGAGGAAGCAGGAATCGTCTAAATTTACAGAGGATGTGAAGAGCAAAGGTGGGACAGAATAACGTGCAATATTTTCTGGATGTAAGAAAAAGAAAAGGAGAAACAGAGATAACGCCAATACATTATTGTTCAGTGGGGCTCTGCTGGCAGGCTGAATTCTGTTGGGGATGGCTCATTTCTCCTCAGTGACAACAGCAGGTTTCAAATAACGCTTCATATTTCCCAGGTTTAGCAGATGAAGAAAAAGAATTACTTGGGAGGCAAACAGAGCAGATTTGCAAATAGAGGAGAATGTTTTATGGCCAGACTTGCAAACATTTGGCTCCTGCAGACGCCAGAAGACTCTGCATCTGCTTTAATCAACGTGGGTTGATCCTTTCTGATTATTTCTTTGAGATCCCTGTGGTTCTTAAGGCAGTAGTTTTATATTATCTAGGACAAGGCGACTGCTCAGCTTCACACAGAGGGCAACTTACCTGCAAATTCAAACTGTGCAGCTTTTGTTTGGCAAGAAAGGCAAGTGAGAGCTGATGAACTGAGAATAGACATCTATTAAGAATTCTGTGATTCCTCCTCTAAGGCATCTTAGTTGCCTTTCAAAAATTATGTCTTCATTAGAGATACCATAGTCTCTTCTGTTTATAATGTCCTCTTTATATGTTGGCCAAAACAAAAAAAAAAGATGATAGTAGGAATTAAAGACTTCTTTTTCAAGCAGGTATAAAATGTACCTGGAAAATTACTGCATTATGCTCAGCTGAGTGTAAATAAAAGCTGCAGAGTGCCAGACACTTAAAATAATTCATAAGAAATATGAAATTGCCCATTAATTGCTGTCTCAGGGGATACAAGTCCTTTATGGTAGGAATCTCTTCAGCAGATGGGATAAGAAGAGAAGTAATCCAGTCACTGTACTGGGCAAGATGCAGTTGTGATTTTTAATCCTTTTACCCCTTTGTTGTATTTTTACAGCAGGAAGGTTCCCTTCAGCTCACGGAGGTACTTTATGGCAAGTTGTATGGTGGAAGCAGACAGAACAGTTGTCCTGAGAAGGTGCTCTGGCTCCAAGAAGTCTGGTTTTGGGGTTCTGTTTTATTTTTGAACTGTTATTATTCTTTCATATCTGTATTTAAGATCTGTTGGCCTCAAAACGTTGTATGGCTGGGCTTGTAAACAATTGGCTGCTACAGACACCAGAAGATTCTCCATTCGCTTTGATCAAAAGAGACTGATTACTTCTTTGAGATCCCCGTGGTTCTTAGGGTGGTAGTTAACCAAAGCCACTGATAGCGACATACTACCTACAACAAAGTCAACGTTCAGCTTCTCTTCACACAGAGGACATCACCAGTGGATCCAAGCTGTACGTCTGTTCAGTTATTAGCAAATGACTCAAAGAAAAACAAATCAGCCTGGAAATGCTGAGCAGCGCAGCGGCTGGCGTAGAGGCCCTACGGTGTCACCTTGACTGCTTTAGTTTTCAGGATGGTTGGATTGGGTTGGAGCGTAATGGGATTGGGTCTCCCTGTATCTTTATATTGTCTCCCTTCTAATGTATCTTCTTTAAGATAGGGATCGCCTTTAAACATAAGAGGCAAGGAGAGAGGGGAGAGGGCAGGCAAGCACTGTATATAGCATCTGTAACGTTTAATTATATGAGACAGGGATTTTCCAATATGCCTTGCAACACAAAGAACGTTTAGATATCAGCATCACAGTATATATTTTCTAAATCATAACACCCACACATTTCCTTAGCCAAGTAGAAGTTTTCCTTCTATGGCTGCATATCTAAAATTAGCCTGAAGGTCAAATCTGAATAGAAACACCCTTGCCATTGAACGTGCTGGGAATGATTGGTGCAATGGGCTCAATTTTCCCATCGAAAACCTTCATTTATTTTTTTAAATAACAGTTGCTTTTACAATTAAAGAGCTTGGAGAAAGGCAAAATGAGGCCTGCTGTATAAAATCACCATCAATATTCTGCTTTCACTGCAAGGCTATTTTTATAGCCAACTACTTTAAATGGATATAAGATGGATAGAGCAAAGCCATAGTATAAAAGATGCAGCAAGAGGCTTCCGAACAGTTGAACCGAGCACCGCCAGGTGAAAGAAAAGCCTTAACATTTGGAAGATGTTTGTATATGAAAGACATACACAGTGAAGAATTCTAAGTTAAGAAATGCATTGTTGAGAAGAATTGAATAGTTTAGGTCTAAAAATAACCTGCAGGTGTATTATGTGAGGACTATGCAACCTATACAGGACAAATGAAAAGCACCGTCTTGCAAGAAGTGCATTTATCAGCCACAGTGTTTTATTGAGTGCTTTAATAATACAAGTGTACATCAACTGATCCACAGTCAAAAGTGGCAGGTCCCTAAGAAATTTACAAGCACTTTTTTTTTAAGTAAATCAAAATACATATTAATTTGTTCAATGCAATAGCCTTTTGTGTGGGAAACAGAAGGCTAGTGATAAACACAGTCTTAGTAATGCACAGTGATTCTTGATTTTAAGCTTTTATACAAAACTTGTTCCCAGTAGCATGCACCCACCATTAAAGACTTCAGTACAAAAAAATAACCCTAAACACTACATTTAAGTAGAAACGAGATATAATTCTGAATTTGTTTGTTTTCCCAAAAACCACATGAAAGAAAAAAAAAAAACAAACCACACATTAATACAAAGCTTTGTGACAAAGCTCTATACTATTACAGATCCAACATTCTTTGCACTGATAACCAAAATTCCCTGTCTACATTTGAGGGAAACGACTTTCAAGTTAACAGAACAAAAAACCCCAAAACAAATAAAAATAAAAATAAACCCAAAAAAGAAAGTAAGGACAACCTTTTGTCACAAAATGGTTCAAAATTTAATAAAAAATAAGAATGAAGGGAAGGGCTATTGATGCACTTAGTGAATGTGCTTGCACAGGTCCAGCAAATCCTAGAGCAGGTTCCTATGTGGCGTATCTCTTGGTCCACTGTCTGGCCATTCTGTCGTGCTCTGCTCTGTTAGTCATATACTGAGTGGCAATGCTTCCGACCAGGGGGTCAGCTGAAAGGGAAACAAAAACCATGAAAAACTTGTCAGCCTTGGGAGGATGCAAAAGCTATTGTTAGATCCAGGTTCATTCAGTTCTCTTAGGTTTAACTGTAAGAACAATGTGCCTACATACACTTGGCCCGTTTTGAAAGGACTCATGCATACAGGAGGAAAGGAAGAAGATTGGGAGGAGCTGGCTATCCATTTCTGGCAAATATATAATTAAATCATATATATATATATATAATTAAAATCATTGTCTAAAATTCTGCCTCACAAAAAAATGTCCCAGTAATTTTATTTTGAGCTAAAAGTCTCTTTCAGGTGATATGAATAAGCATGCTATGTCATTTATTTATGGTATTAGACTCCCACAAATATCTATACTATCACCTAAGAAGAGGATGGGCTCTATTTCGATTATCAGGTTCAATGCTTTTTAAAATACTTTTAGTTTTGAAGCATAAAGAAAGATCAGGAATCAGGGCAGTAAGTATTATTTTCAAAGCAGCAAAAGTTAATTCCAAACTTTGGGATCTGGTATTTATGGGATCTTTCTGAGTACCTATATGGCCAGAATGCTGTATGATTTTGTTTTTTCAAGCTATTTCTGTATTTACAAAATAAAGAAACAACCTGAAAAAGTATTCTTACATTAATCTGGATCTACAAATTACTTCACAAATAATTAAATGAAAACAATCACCCCTCTAAAAAAAAACAAACCAAAATTCCCAGAAGTGACTGTACGTCGTCATCATTTTTCTCTTCTCAGTTTAAAGCAGACAAAATGAACAGGAATTTTCTTTTTTTTGGGGGAGACCACACTCTATAATTCTGCTGCAACAGTAAATTTCCTGAGGTTGTAGCAACACACCATGCAAGTTTAGAAGCACTGATCTCATGTTTTTTCCTGACTTAGGGCAGATGAAGACTTCTTAAAGCCAATTAATAATCAGCTTTGTAGTTGACTGAAGATGGTGCCATTGAACAATATGACTCTCAGCTCCCCCAGTACAGTCATAATCAGAGCGTGGCATTTGCATTATTAACCACTGAAATAACTGGGACTAGGTGTCAGGCCTTCTGCAAAGCAGAGCAAATCTGGGCTTTTTTTGTTAAGAGTTTATGATAGGAGAAATGTGTTAGTTTAACCAAAGATCAATTGGTTGGCTTACTGCCAACATCACTGGGTATTACAGAACATTATCTAATGAAAAAAAAATCTTTTGTTACTTTCAGGAAGAGCCTGTGATTGGGATCTTAAGTTTGCACCTACTAAATTAGTAAGGCAAGTTATGACTGTCACTATGGTGTACTAAGTCCCTGTAGTCTCAGTCCTGCATATGCTTACCTTTAGTATCTTAATATATCCAGAGGAGGTCACTGAGGCCTGGACTTTGCTATTTTTACATGCATGAGTGTCAAAGCAGCATATCTGATCTGAGATCCATTTTAAAAGTTTCAGACTAGAAAGTATATCACCTTTAACTCCTCAGCCAAGAAGAAGAACCATATAGGAGATTACTGGAAGGATTTTTTCTGTGCAAATAGGAGGCTATTAGTCCACAGGTATTTAAGGACTGCAAAGTTGTTAATGGCTGGAATGAGCACTGCGGGGTAAAGGGGGCAATGGGAAAGGGCAAAACTTCTCTCAGAAAAAAAATTGAGGGAGTAGCCACAGAGAAACCTTGTCAAAATGTAACATAGCTTGGGGATGAGCCTGACAGCACTGCTGTGAATTCCCACACTCTTCTCCAATGTGACAGCACGGTGAGAAGAAGCACTTTCAAAGACCCATGGAGAAATGGAGCCTAAGGGTTGAACTTGGAAGGAATCCCTGGAGCAAAACTCAATGCATGTGCTGGTTTTCATGCTTTTGGGGAAGGTGGGGTTTGGTCTCTGAGGCATCTGGCTGTGATGGGTTGCAAGAATATCATGGCATTATCATCTGGAATGTAGCAAGTGCTTAATGAGGTTTAGTGCACATTTAAAGGGCTGGTGCTAAGACCTTTACAAAACCTTACATGAGTCAGTGAAAAGTGATGTGCTGTAGTAAAGGTTTACCCATCTCAAATCTGAAAGTCTTCTATGTGTGGGATGAATGTATATATGAAAGCCTGTCTTTCACATTGTGAGCTGTGAATCAATTTCCTTGATATATGGAAAGGGTACTAAGGATCATATCGTCATCCCCAATCCTGGGTGATAGATTACAATGTTTGGTTTCCTACTGTGGGTTTCCATCCACGTCTCCTTTCAGGAGCAAGGAAATGTTTCAACAACTTACATCTTTGGAAGGATTTGGGAGGCACAGGTTCTTCGTCTCACCTCTTTCCAGCATGGGAGGGTGTCTACTTTCTTTTGGGGTGGGAGAGTGACAGCAGTTCTTGATAAGAAAGTGGGGAAATCTGTTGAAGCCCAGTACTGTAGGAACCGGGCTGTTTATTTATCCGTACATTCAAGCCTTTGTCTTTGCAGCGTTTTGCTTGGCAGCTGGGGAGAGAGTGGAGGTGACGGCCTGCAAGATGCCTGAGGTCTACAGAGCTTTTGTTGTAGGAGCGTAAACTCCCACCGAGGGAGTGACCTGTGAATCAGCTATCACCTTGGATGCTTCCTCGAGTCAGTGCCTCCCTCCATCCGTGTCTGTCTGTGAGAAGCAGGACTACTGAAGCAAAAGAGAGGTCCTTGCCTGCTGTAGCATCAGCAGGACTAGCTACACCCACCACCAGCTGCTAAGCGGATGCTACTAAAAGGTGCTTTTGGTAATAACACTAATAACATTGTTCTTTGCAGTTTGGCTGCACATTTTATTGGTTATAACAATACTGAATAAAAACACAAACACACAGTTTGGCAAAGTCATTCGCTTGTTTGAGACCCCAAACTGAAGAAACAGAAAGGTGGTTCTTGCCAGAGAGGTTGAGTTATTTCACATCCCTGTCAGAGGGTCTGGAGGTGTGTTGTCATTATACGTAGTTATTTATGAGGACTTTAATAAGGACTCTTCAACAGGTGTTTGAAGAGCTAGCTTATTTCAGCAGTTCCTGTGAAGTTGTAAACCCATCAAGAGGCACAACAGCTTTCTTTGGGAAGTTGGAACAGCCGGTGAGGAGGGCAATTTTAACTTCAGATCAGAGGCACCCAACCAATGGCACGCTGGCCAATTTGATGCAGCCCACTATGTTTGTGCTGGAGGACATAAGGATGGCATGTAACCTCCAGAAATGTGAATGGCCTCTTTCTGCACCTTCATGAAGTCAGGCAGCTTCAGGCCCAAGCCACATTGTCCCTGGTGGAGGCGTGAGCCAGCCAGCAGGCCCAAGGAGACAGACCTCTCCTCAGTTAATCAGTCATGAGTCACCATTGCTATGCAGTTCACGAGGAGGGGCCATAAAATGGAGATTACAAGACAAATTGAAGCACCTTAATTAAAGCAATTAAAAACTGTAATTCCCAACATGTATGAGCCTTGGTTACAGTGTCCACGTCCCACCAAACACGAGGAAGAAACAATAGTTCCCATTTACCCCCTAAACTAAGTAGCACATGGCTGAGCACCACCTGGTTCTCAGCTGGCCTGCACTATTTCAGGAGTATTGTGAAATCTCCGTAAGAAGGGCCAGATATGTATTTATAAAACAACTGTTGTGTAAACTGTCTAATTAAGAGATAAAAAGGAATACCGGATCTCAAAATTCATAACAGTACTTTTCCCACTTTTCCATTTCTCATTACCATAACACTGTTTCTTATTTTACATTTGTATATATCTGTGGTTTTATTCTCAATGTTAGAAATTTGTTTCCATAACTAGTAAACCGCTCTAGCTTTTTCATTTATTTTTGTTTTAGAAGTAGCGTGATTCATCAGTGAAGCCGGGTTCATTTCAGAAATTCACTCCAAGTGGGACTGTGTCCAAATGACAATGAAAACCGAGGGATTGGAATATAAAGCTAAGCCAGAAATGTGTTATCAGAACAGCCTAGTGAAAGAAACGAAAATAAATCCACAATAAGTTAATAACAACAAAACTCTGCCATCCTGGCCTGGCAGGATGTGTGTACTTCGGGACCTCTTGGATCACCAGATGCATGGTGCCTGGCTTGAGAGCCACGGTACCCCATCTCTCAAGGCTCTGGTGGCTGGTGGTGCTGTGGCAGTGACAGCCATGTGTGGGCAGTCGTGCCGTGGCGCCCACCACCAGCTCACCTGAGAAGCTGCTGCAACCCTGTGAGCCTTCAAGGTCTCATAACTTACTATTTCTTCCAGTCTCTGACTCTCGCTTAGAGAAATCTGCCCTAGGACATTTCTATAACCTTTAGCTTGTTTAAAGAAAAAAGTGTGATCCAACACTCGGATTAGTTCCATGTAAAGCTGAAGGACACCAGGAGTTACAGCATCAAATTTCATGTCAAAGGACAGCGGAAGAGTCACAAAAACATAATAAAAAAGCACTAAATAAAACAAGCATGGACAGAAGCTAAGGGTCAGCAATGTAGCTTACATGGAAAATGCCAATCAAGAGAACTAAAGTATGAAGAAAAGCTTACGGATGATTTATAGGAGGACTTGCAGCTGCTAAATCCCCCCCCTCACCTCACCATATGTAATCCTCATGTTATACCAGAATTCAAGAAATCACCCTGCATTTAAATGTAGTTTTGAAGGCTGGGCGAGCTGGAGCTCCTGTCTTGCTTACAAAGGTTGGATGCGCTGCTCTACAGTGACTTGTCATCTTCTTTTGCAGCCACTTAATATGACTGCACAAGGAAGAACATTTGTGTCTCATGTCTGTTGTAAGGCTAATCAAATTTACAGCCCAATTCGAGGGAGTTAATGCTATTGGGGATTTGGATGAGCTGAGGTTTGGTCATTACAAAATTTCAGCTGTGTTTAACGCTAGTTATACTGCTTTATCATTCAGGAGACAGACTATAATTCTTCTTTAAAACTACTTTTCCCCCAAATAAATGAAAATATATTGCTATACTGTATTTTTCTCCGCTTGT